GTAGATGACTAATCAGAAGACCAAAATCTAGAAGATCAACAAACTATACAAGAATAACTCTAAACAAACAATAGAACCAACACAAGAACAAAAGGAGATGGCAATAGAACTGAGAACAACCAACGTTTGGATCATCATCACCTAGCGCCGACATGACTCTGTGATTTTCCTCGGAGTTGCCACGAACACACACCACAGAAGGCCAGCCCTAAAACCTAAATCTAGTATCACTTACAGCTCCTCCGAATCAAACCACCAAATAAACTTGCAAAAGAGTAAAGCACAGAAGCTTCGTACGCCATCTCCGGCTTCACAGTCGACTTAGAAGAATCAGCTAAACCCGAAGTTCAGTTCAGATGTGAGATCCAGAGAAGTCGGCTCCAACTCTCAGATCCAACACTGAAACTAAAGGCTTTTTAGCTTCACCTCCTCCGACAAAACAGAAGTTGGGTCTTGAAGTTCCATATGCAAAAGCTCTGCCAGGCACCACCGCCAACTCGCTAATGATTCCTCCGCTGAGAGCAGTGGCCGGAATAGAGCCAAGAGGAAACCCAGATGAGATCCCAACGAACAAGGCTCTTGATTTAAATGAACAAGCTCTTGGTTTGGGATGTATGTAATAAACTTGAGCAACATCATCATTTGGCTTCCAATCCACCAACCGTATCTAAATCAATGTTTCAATCTTTCTTCTACTCTTACTCTAGCAATTTTGTAAGCTATCTGAAAATGGTAATTTGAGATCAATTTTTACATTTTTCAAATTCAAGAACAAACTCAACTTGTGTAAGGTCGTTCTCATCATACTATTACTCACCAACACCAGTTGGTTGATTTTCTTAATGGCCAACCACCAACTTCACTAAAGAATCCAACCGTCTAATTATTTTGGGAAATAATTTCTCTCTTTAAGAACAAACTCCATAACCAATTTTGTACTGTCTTATTTAATTTTGATGGAACTTATAATAAAAAAAATTACTAGAGAAATGACAGATACGAAGAGCTGTACGTAAGTTTCATAGTCGAGTAGGGTATAGCCATGCATATATAGGTGTGCACATTTGAAATTCAAACCAGTTAATGAAAAAAAAAATCTCAAGAAACCCTCAGAATGCACCGCTAATCATAAATCACATTAAATATAGCCAAATTTAACTAATATATATATGAATAAAATGAATATAGTTTCAGTTTAAAAAATTATCCATAGTTATTGGGAAACTTATTATACGAAATCAAAACTCGTTTATATTTATATGAGTTTAGCAATTATTTTATATAGAAATGTATTCCACCCGTGAAATAACTGGAAACAATTTTTTTTTTGATCTTAGTCAATATATATATCACTTATTAATAAAATATCTTTATTTAATATAACAATCTTCAAAAATACGTTCTATGACTCAAATATACAAAATAAAATATTGCAAATATGAATTAAATTTTAAAAGTTTAGGGTAATTATAAGAGGATGTGAATATTAATAGTAAACCTTTTTATTTTATTTTTTTTAAATAAAAAAAAATTATTTTCTAATGATGTTTTGTTGGATAGATTGTATGATTGTATAGTGTTTGGATAAAAATGTACAGCTACAGCCAAAACATTTACAGCAAAAATTCTATAGCAATTACTCTACAGCTACAGCCGAACCAATCATCCACAATGTTATTTCACCTTGTTTAGGTTCGGTGAGAAATTCAATGTGCAAAGTCATTATCCTATTTATTACCAAGTTACTGATCTGGTAAAGAAATTTGTTACCGAGTTTTCCGGGCTTTTGTCAGGCCAAGTGTCTTATGATAATTGCTTAGTTTAAGCTTCAAAACTCACATTTTCCACATTAGATCTTTGCTCCTATCCATACGTAAGGAAATCATTAAATTCGGTATAATGCAGATTGAA